GATGATCTGTGCAGGTGAAATTCTGACCCTGCTGATCCTCAGGCCAGGAGCTCAGCCCTAACCCCCCTCTGCACAGCCCACAGTGGAACACTGACTGCTTTTTTTTCCTTCTTATTTGCAGTAACAAAGGCATGGAGCATCTTTTGAGCATGAAGTGCAAAAATGTGGTCCCAGTCTATGATTTGCTGCTGGAGATGCTGAATGCACATAGCCTCAGAGGGCAGAGGAAATCTGCAGTCACAGGCTCTGAATTTGGCCTGTCAGAAGAAAGTGAGACTAGAGATGGGATGTGAAATCTGACCGCACAGAAACTGCATAATGACCTGGAAGAGCAGGTTTGTAGGAAATGGTGGGGAAAAAAGAGCACTATTCCATGGCATGTATACATATATGCCTTGTAAGTATATGTATAAAAGCCCTTGAGATCTCGTTATGAAATTCCATTGACCTTCTCTGAGCCCATTTAGATTTGCACACGTGACCTTGGATAAGGCTATAGAGCACCATATGGCTAGTAGGACTCGCGCCTTGTCGGTGTTTCTGACATTGCAATTACTTTGCACTCTCCTAATGCCTTCTCAGAAACTCGCAAAGCACCTTATGGACGTTCTGCCTCAGAGCAGCCCAGTGAGAATGTTACCCTGGCTTGAAAGATGGGTGTGCTGAGGCAGGGAGAAGCTAAGCGATTAGCTTTTAAGGTCACACAGCAGGTGTGTGGCAGAACTGGGACTAGATCCAAGGTCACTTGACTCCCAGTCCCAGCCTAACATCATCTGGAATGTACAGCTGTGTTACATCGCTTGGGAAGGATCTGATCACTGGGGGTGGTTACTGGCAAAAGAGTTGATGTTTTAGCTAATGAAAAGACCACGTGCAAAACAAATGAAATGAGTCTGTTTTGCATCTAAATATGCAACCCTGGAACCCTTCCTCAGGCTTCGTGTAAAGCCATTCAGAATGCATCCAGGACACTTGGCAGATCAGCTTCGGACATGCAGCAACCCATGTACGGTTTCAATGACATGATCCTGCCCTTTGCACTGTCCTTTTGTGCTTCAAAGTTGAATCTGGCTGCCTGCTCCTGTTCATGAAATGCTGAGCTTGGGAATTCAACATTAGCAACCCCTGTTGCAGATTTATAATAACTGAAATATGAAGTCATCAATATGTTAGGGACAAAAGTTAATGTTTAATTGTGTGTTTTAGGAAGAACAATGCTGTATAACTTGGTGATCTGGTTCTTGTAAATGTGCTTTTTAGGTTATTTCACATTCTTCCTTTCACCTGCAGCTTCAGTACAGTTTCCTTGTAGAACACTTTGGGGGCAGGGGGCTCAGATTATGCAGAATATATAACCGCGATGATGGCAGGAGGGAGGGCAAGGTAGGTGGATGGGAGGCTCAGCTAGGATCTGCCTTTACCTACCTGCCTCATTTTGCCTCTTTTCTATTTTCGAGAGGAAACTCCATGAAAGTTGCTTTTCTAGGGGTGGCTGGCTTTTTGCACCTTGCTCCCTGAATGAAGAAAGGCCAAATGATGCCTCTGGGATGCTTCATGTATGGCAATTTGCTTCTATTTCACTAAATATGTCACTGTATAAAATGCCTGTCTTGTTGATTTCTGCATATATCTAAGATGCACTGAGTCTAAGCACTGATCTCTGCATATATCTAAGATGCATTTCAGCTGCCTGTGTGATATTCTGTTTTTATGCTGTAATTGCACTTAATCTTGGAAAGTAACACTGGAGGTTAGCAGACTTGACTATTTCACAATAGCAATTAGTTTTACATTATGAACTTTTACGGAAGAGGTAACTACCTACCAGAGGTACCTATCTAGATCCTAATTTGAAAGTCCCTCTAAGTCAGTGGGCATCCTCTCAAGTGACATCAATGAGATTTGGATTGTGCCCTTAGTGAGGGCAATTGTTCTCTTTATTGACCAGTATCTATGCTGTGAATATTACTCACTTTTGATCTGGATATTTTGAAGCCAAGGATATTGTATTTTATAGGAAAGGTGACCAAAAGTGCTTTCAGTGAGTTAGACTATATTGTCTATTGACTTTTGATCTTGTACTATAGCAGATGTTGATGACAGTCTGAAATCTTACCAGCTATTTTTTTTTAAATAAAGGGAACCAATGTATTTTTCTTATACATGTGTAATAGCTGTTCCTGCAAAGGGAAAGAAAAAATGCAGCTGCAGTCTTGAATTTATTTGGGCTTACCTGAATTGAAGTTGTACTCAGTACTACATGGACGTGCCTGAACATTTTAAGAGTCATATTTTGACCTGGTCACCTTTTGACCTGCTCACCTGCCACACTGTTCTTCTTTCTGTTTCCAACTCTGTGCAACCCTGCAAACGTGCCTGTCATTTGCACGTGCGCTAAGTAACTGGAAAGCTTGACCCTCCCTGTACATATAGCCGTGAAGCAGGTTTCTGAACACCCATGGTTGTGCTTCTAAGTGGTATCAAATATGTTGTTGAAGTCAGCAGGCTCTCCTGCCCCATACTTTACTTTAACACAAGGGTCTTAAGTGTAGCAGTGGTAATGAGGGCTCGTACTATGATTTACACGCAAGTAGATTGGGTCAGAATATACTGTGGTCAAATCTATATGCAAAGGGTGAACATTTGTTCTGCTTTCTTCTTCATCTTTTTTTTTTTTTTAATGACCAAGATTTTGAAAAGTGACTCCATTTTTGGGTGGAGATTTGAGCTGCTTAAAGGGACGTGGCCACACTTGTACTAGCCTTTCCTGGACCCCTTCCAGGAGCTGAAGTCTAGCAAAGGCGTGAAGGTGAGTGTGACGGACTCTCCCATTGGTGGTGGCACTAGACTAGAGCACCATTGCAACTGCTTAAGTTCTTCAGGGATGTGGCTGAAACAGAGGCCAGGTCAGAAAGGCAATCTGGGGCCTCATTTATTCTTAGTACAGCTGATGATTGTGTTTTGTTTTTAAGTCGGTCCTTGTCTTGCTCAGGACACGTGGGGCTAGGAGCAGTGTGTTTTTTGTGAGTCCGAAAAGAAGGTGTGGCTACATCGCTATTACTTTTTATATCTCGTTAGTAGTCTGATTCAGCAAAGCACTTAAGCACGTTTAAGTCTTTTGCTAAATCACAACCAGAAACGAGCCTAAAAAAATTATTTGTACACAAAACACACAAATAGGTTAAAGTGGATAGTAGGTATTGTGTGTATATATACTATATTCCCATGAGTCATCTGACAACTGATCAATACAAGAGCTATAATTTATGAAGATCAAGTACTATCTGCTTTTAGATTATTTTTATTTATGTGTGTTAGTTGCTAGACAAATAGCTAGGTATTTGCAACTTATCTTCAATGCTTAAAATACTGATGACTCTAATGAATAAATAAAAAATGATGCTTTACTAGTTTAGTCTGGCTCTGTAGGTAAAGGTGGAATTTGTGAGCAATCTAAAAACTATGTGATTTTAAATCAAAATTTTCTAGATTAAAATAGTCCTTCAAATGGAGTACTGCACTCCATATCCTAGCGCCTCAGCTGTACTTTGGAGGTCTCTTAAGCATTTGCAATCTTTTACCATGTCATCTGAACCCCCGTTACATCATGTTCAGTATCATTTATTCTTTCATGGCTCCCAAATAAAAACCAGACTGCTGTTTTAAGGAAATGCTAACTTTTCCTTAAAGTTAGCTAAATAAATCATGGATTAAATTTCATCACATCATAAACTATGCTAGTGGTTTGCTTTCATGATAAGCAGTTAGCATCTCCAGTGAATGTTAATACTGTACAGGTCTTGTGAATGTGCATTGTTCTCAAACTTTTGTATTTTAAATCCTACTTCAATGTGTTGAAATTTCTTATCTGTATTTTGTAAATTTAAAGAGAGATTTACCTTCATTGAACCAGTTTTAAAACTGAAATGTTTTTAGAATTGAATTTGGTGCCTTTTCAAGTATTTTGTGAAATGCCAATCATGTGAAAAAATGAACTTTTCTCAGCTGCTTTTTATTTCTGTAGATTTGCAGTATTTTCCCAGTGATGTGCGTTTCCTTAAATTGTAGCTTGTGGTTAATAAACAGGTATTGTTCTAAAGTGGAATGTATTGTGTTTTTTCAGTGTAGATGGCTAATAATTTATGATGGTGTTTACCAGACTTGATTTTTTTTCCTATAATGGATCAAATTCTAGCGTGCCTTTTATCTACAGAGGTACAGGCTGAACCACAACTCTTGAATTAATCTAATCCTGATCCTGCCTACTTTGCCATGAGCTAGAAGTGCTAGTGAGATATGGGAAAACCATTAGAAATGAGCCAGCTCTGCTGAGAAAAGAAGCTTATGCCCTAAGGAGAAAAAGCTTGTAAGCTCTCGTCCACTCCAATTTTCCTCATGTACAGTAGGTACCTGCAAATCTAATCCTTTATTTTCTTTAAAAGCCAGTAGCTCAGTTCTGGAAGGTAACACTATAGTAACAAATCAGTGGATGTGTCAAGAACTAGAAACAGACTTTAATGTCAAGCCATAAATGAGTCATTGTAATCACCTGGAAGTAAAAATGATTTTAAGAGAGAAATAACACCATGAGGTTTTTTTTCCCCACTTCTACCTTATTTCTTTGGGACATTTTGAAATTATTTGGTGAAAGCTTCTTGTATATTATATATTGCATCACCTAGACAATTGGATAGAACGATACATAATGAAGGTAAATTGTAGACTATGAAATTTTCTTCAGACCTTTTAACAGTCTTCGTATCTTCTCCTTACCCAAGTTGCTTAATGGCAGATGCACTGAATATGACCTGTCCGCAATTTAATACAGGTACTTGGCAGAAGGGTTTACACGGGGCACTTCTGACAAACAGGAAATGAAAGGAGGGCTGGATTCAGCACAGCTCTACAGAAGCAGAAACTCAAATGAGCTCTCGCTCAAAGTAATTACTTTCAAAATGTAATAGAGGCTGGCAGAGTGATTTTTCTCACCTCTTTTCCCCCTTACTATCCAGTACTTTATTATCCACAGTTGCTCTTTAAAAACAATTTTGCTTTGCATTCATGTCGCCCACCCTTGCATGTGGAGCAACACCACCACACACTCTAAAAAAGTCCACTGAGGCAACCTGATTTTTAAACATGCAGAATCAGAAAGGGCCTAAGGGTGTAATGCCTGTGTATGTAAATCCTTGGTCTTTTATAACACATCCATGGTTAGCACATGAGGGACTTTGCAGTATAAGGGGCATTGCTAAGCTGAGGTGGGATGGGACTCTGGGCTCCAAAGCCTTTCCATGCCTGGAAGGTCTCTCCTCCTTATTTTGCACTTCTCTCTACACCATCCCCTGCTTGCTGGATCCTGGGAAGAGCCTGAGTGGTAGGTTCATACTCAGTTGGAGAGCAGGCTTGAGTTACCCCTCTGCAAACCAGCAGGGCTGGCAGCTTGAAGGTTTTGGCTTGTGTATGGCTGGCCAAGGAGATTGATATGGGAGGGCCAGAAGAGAGTGATGGTAGAAGAGACATTGTTAGACTTTTAATTTCAGCAGCAGCTTGGGGTCCCACTGGAGAAGATCCTCAGACAGGATTACAGAAACAAGTTGTTCAACACTGAGCAACTAAATTTGGTTACCAGCTAGGATGAATAATTAAAGCAAATATGACAACTTTCCTTTTTGGATTTCTTGGGGTGTCAAGTTTTCAACTGCAAAATGTGTTGTATTTTAGAAAAAAATGTATTTTTCTAAGACATATTTCATGTGAAAAAAGTTATCTTACGGTACTGGCTGGGCTAATCTTGGCAAGAATACCTTTGCTGCAGAGAGGCTTTACTTTAGGGGCCCTCTTTCTTAAGGTACAAACTCTGAAGGCAGTGAGGGGGTTGTACTGAGTGCCTGAGAAATGACCTCAAAGGTTGGCAAGTGGAGATGAACTAGAAAGCGAATAGAGAGGCTTTGTAATGAAGTATTTTAAAGGTCTCTCTAAAAAGTTATATGCTTAAACAAGCTCTGACTAGAGTCTTCCTGTGTGGCCTATAGCACAACCATGAATGGAGCTTCCACACAACTCCTCGTTCTTCAGAAAACTGGTTGCAAACTGTGAAGGTGTGTCAGCACGGGAAAGGAAAAGGCCCCTTGATTAATTTCTAATCTCCCTGTACAAGAACATATGAAGACTAGTGCAAGAGAGGCATTCCTTCCCACTGTACAGCTCTTTCTTAAGGAAGGTTGTTTAGGTAAAGGTAGAAAGTTTTCAGGTGTCTCCTAATGTAGTTGCAAACTTCTGCTACAACCTGGTTTCAAAAGACAGAGTCCGTTCCCGATATTTGACAAGTGAATGTGTAAAGCAAAACGGGCTCTGGGATTGACACGAGTGCCCGCTCCATTAGGCAAATCCATACTCTGAAAACATCAGCAGAACTTTAATGAGAATGTTTGAACTGTACAACCAACAAATATGTTCCAATAAAACTGACTGTACATCACATTTTCTCTTCCCATCACCTGAAATTTTTACTTCATTTTAAATGTGAAGTAATGTATAAAAATGCACGAGTCTCTCTTGGCATACTATACATTCAGGAGATTAAACCAGAAATCTTTGATTAAAAAAAGCCAGTGCACATTATTCATTTGTATACAGAGTGTGTACAGACTACGTAATTATCTTCATGTAGAAAATATGCACAATATAAACCATTTCCATGCAATGTAATCATTTCTTTTTTTAAATCATGGTATAAAAGGACAGCACAGCAGAGCTAAGTACTAAACACTTTGCACGCAGAACAAATACACATCTTTTTATTGAAAGAGTTAGATGAATTAAGTACAGCGTAACAAAAATACCAAAAATTTAAAACCTTCGTTTCTACCAGCTGACTACAGTACCAAAAGATACAGGTAAGGAGGTGAACTGTTGCCCATCGTAAGTGCATGCCAAGCACTTAAAACTGCTTCAGTTTGTCACGTTGAGCCATGACAAAGACCACTAGTTACAGCAACTACTGTCACATAACAGCCCATATCATTCTGTCAATTTGAGTTCTATGGACCTTGCCAAACTAGGGTGGGGTGTCTGTAAATATAAAATGCTTGTGTCTAGTGCATCAAAGTATACAGTATGGTGCTCCGGAGTTAAAAATCTATAGAAAATTCACTTTCTGTACACAAAAAGCCATTGGACTACTTCCCAAAACCCTGAAATCATGTAAAGATTTACAGCTTGAGATGCGAACATCAATACATTCCCTGCGCAGGAGGAAGTGGCCATTTAAAAAAATGCCTCCCGTAGAGCTCAGCTGTGCAGTTGCACCCAAGATTCAGGGATGCACAAGTGACTATGGTCAAGTCAGGAAAGCTCTGCAGGGGGTCAAAATGTGGACTCAGACGGACCTTTCTGTGCCTGACCATGTGAATTCACGGCTTGACATTAGCAGCATGAAAACAAGCACCCATGACAAAATGTGTTTTTTGGTACATCGGAGAATCACGGGATGCTGCCTAGGTTGGCGGAGGTCCGTTGGTATATTTCAGCATTAGGTGGAAAGATCGGGCAAAGTAGTTTGCTTGAGTGCAGCTGTAGTCTTCCTCTGAGGATGGAACCATACAGGCCAGAAGCAGAAGCAGAAGGAAGAGCAACTGAAGGGGCAAAGCCGCTCGTAATACACGGTGAAAGAAGGAACGGGGCCTGGAAACTGGAGCAGGTTTGGCCTGGTTTTCCATTCTGAGAAGACAGAACGCAGTTATATTGGTGGCAAGTTAGGTTTTTGTTACTTTCCTTCACTTAGCATGAACTCCAACTTTGTTTCATGTTATACTAACCCTCTTGCTCAGGAGCATGCACTTCATAACAGTATGTCTTGCAGGGAAACAGAGCATTCTCCAGTTCTGTAAAAGCATGCTTCAATCCAGTTGAAAAAGGGTAGGAAAAGCCTCCTAAGTTTTAGTACTAATAACTGGGAGGCTGCTGTTCACACTGAGGTGTGCTTAGGGCGCTTTTCCTTAAATGCTAAATAAAGAATGTCCAAGTTGTGAGAAAAGGGGCATCTCCAGGACAGGCTACCTCCCCAACTGGCTGGAAGCAGCTGTGTACTCAGCCACAAAACTGTACATAACACTGGCAGCAGAAGTCATGTGTCCAACCCATCTACATTATTACAAAGTAAATTACCCCAGAGTAAGGAGTGGACACACTGCCAGATCTCAGCCTGCCTGCTTGCTATAGACTGGCACATCATGGCAGGAGAACCAGCCTGCACTGAGCAACTTACACCAACGTACAGCTGCTCCTGGTTTCCTGCAGGTGCCTTCCCCCTAGGGTGCTGTGATTTACATCAGCGTGAGCCTATGGAGCGGTGGCTGTACACACAATCTTTCCAAGTCCCTTTACCACTTGGGCACGAAGCCCTCAGCCTTGCCTGCACTCTGTACTTTCCACACCAATGAAGTGAAGGGCCTACCTGATGCTGCTGGCATCCCTGCTGTCGGAGGCTGGTCTTGTAGTGACCTGTGGAAAGAGGCATTTATTATTTTTACAGTTATAAGAAGCCAGAAAATCTGTCTGACTAAAAAGATAGGATTCCTGGTCCATTTAATTTTAAGGTCATATTCTACATTCTGCATGTAATTAAAATAAGCAGGTTTCTAAAGTTTTGAGATTCAAGCCAGAAAAAAAAAAGTAACATCTTGGCAGGAGAAAGAGCAGCCTTTTCATAAAAAAAAGCTTCTTGCCTTCTTCTCCTGAGGGCTGGATTTCACTGCTAGTGGGTGGTAGCCTCCAGAGTCCAATTCATAGGCAGTTGCCAGAAATGCATTGTTGTCCTAAAAGCAAAAACCACCTGTTAATTTACCAAGGCATAAACCAGGAGCACATGGACTGCAAAATGGCACCTGTGGATTGATTCAATGTTCCCATTTAAAATGATATATATTACCTCGGTAGAGATGCCAACCACCTCACAAACCCAGCAGCTCCCAAACTAGGATACTTCTGGACCGTGCGCAGCTGCTGAAAGGACCGATGTTGGAAGGCCCAGGGAACAGTGGGAGCAGACAGGCACTGATATTGCAGCCTGAAAACA